TCTCCAAGCTTAACAGAAGAATCGTGATGAAATCGATCATAAACGAAAATGACATGTTCATCATTAATTAGTCATAAATAAGGATCGGAAGCTCATGAAGTATTGAAATAAAGTTCAAATATATATATATATATATATATATATATATATATTTATATTATTTCAGAATCATTTTCCAAATTATTCAAGATGATCTTCTCCGTCTCTACCCTTCTAACTTTCTGTCCTGGAGTAACAAGGTGCCTCACAAGTTTCACATACGACTTAATTTTCAGATGTCTTTGCCTGTTCTTTGGACTGTCATAGGCGAAACTCGTCTCTCACGTGTCAAATGTCTTATGGATTGAGTTGGATCTTTTCTAATTGATCTCTTTAGCTCTGAGTTGGAATAATGATCTCTTTTCCTGTTGTGACCGCCTGGTCCGCTTTTTCTATCTATCGTCCCCTTTTTTTTTCACCTTTCTCTGGGGGGGTTCTTGAATGGATTTTTGAAGATGGAAGCCAGAGTATGAATGTTGGTACCATTACTGAAGGCCTGAATGATCTTTTTCCTCCCACCATTGCTCATTCAGGAAGACAGTGGGTCTGACACAAAACGATTCTAACCTGTTCTCTTTCAAGCTGAATAACTCAAAGACTTTTTCAGTGATTCTTACGACAAATGGTGTCAAGATGACTAATCGTCTTGACCAAAAACCTGAAAAAATGAAACTTAATTAGGTTAGTGTTTTTTTTTAGATATTAATTATTTTGTGTGATGGACAATTATCCAATGCTGTTACACGATTTGGACATTTTTTCTGTTACACCAGGTATAATGGCTGGCTCTAGACCAGAAGTGGTCATCTCAGTGATCGTGGAACCATTCGTTCTGGAGAAGTAGATGCCTGAGTGGAACTTCCTCATTACTAATGGAATACAACGGAAATGAGGATGTGATAGCCCAGTATACGTGTCATGCTGGGTTCTAGCTGTGAAGGTCTGGATTGAAAACACTAAGGAATGTAGCGCTTCTGAACATCTGCCATAAAACAGCGACAGAGTAGCAAGACATTAGCAAATTTTATCTTTTTTCTCTTTTTTTTTTTTTTAAGCATTTTACTCCAAGAAAGGTGGGGTGCCACTGGTATGCAGGCGGTTTCATAGAGTGAAGGTGTGGAGTTATTTCGCAGTGGAGGCTCGTATTTGTACCAAAATCGGTCCTAAATAGTTCGACGTACAAAACGTTAGGAACTTGATATTACGCAGAGTAATCTTGTTGTGGTCGCTGACTATTTTCGTATTCGACTACTGTCGTCCGACATCGACTGAATGACTGACGCTATTTAGTAACTGCCACACACAGTCACATGTGGCACAAGGCTGAATTAAATGTGGGGTTCCCGAGCCCGTAGGCTCGGCCAAAAAATCCCCGTAGACCCCGCATAACCGGGATCGGGTCTGTCTGTCTACCTCCCCGGACGAAACTCTTCCCGAAGGCATAGCCTCGTCCGGGTTCCTCTCTGTCCGAAGGCAGAGAGTTCGACTGTCGTCCGACATCTACTGACTGACTGACGATATTTAGTCACCCCCCCACGAGGGCATCATTTGCACTAGGCTGGTTTAACGTGGGATCTCCGAGCCCATGGGCTCGGCCAAAAATATGCCTATTGAACCCTTATAAACGGGTTCAGGGTCGGTTTACCTCCCCGAAAGGGAATCCGCCCTTCGGCGTAGCCTCGTTCGAGTTCCTCCCCGCCCGAAGGCAGAGAGTTCAACCGATCAGCCGGTCGTCCGACATCGACTGACTGTCTGACTGACCTTCGTTTCTCTTACTACTCCTACTAATATTTGGTGGGAGAGTCTATTGACTATAGAATAGGTGTGTTTCACCATAACAGAAGGTAAGAAAAAATACTGTGTATAGGAGGAATGAGGAAACGATAAAAGATGAACTGGATTCAAGAAGACAGAAGATGGCGATTGACGGTGCATTTAAATTTTTGAAGATTGTAGTTATCAGGGAAGCAAGTAAACGGAAAGGAGTTCCACGTGGGGGGCGCGAAAAAAGAAACTGTTGAAACAGAAATGGCGATTGCATTTAGTTACTTCAACAGTAAATAGGTGGGACCTAGATGCCAATCTAGTAGCGCGCTTAAATTCATGTAGTCGGGGCACCAAGGCAAAAAGCTCGTCAGAGTAGATGCCTTGAAAATTTTATACAATGTACAGACGGGAACAATATCACGTCTATGAGAAAGTGACTGAAGACGAGATGCCATGTCAGGATCGATTACATTGCAGATTTTTCTTTTGGATTTTGTCAAGAACCTCGAGATGAACATCAGAAGCACTAGACCATATGTGGCAACTGTACTCAATGCAGGTACGAATGGTAGATTTGTAGATATGTAAAATGGACTCTGACAAGAAAAACAGAAAAACTTTCTGGCACGTCACAGTGAACCAACTTTCCTTGCAGTAGATGCAGCTATTGATTCAATCTACTTGTTTCACCAAGTCATTCGAAAACGTGATGCCAAAACAGCACAGTGAGACACTCTCCTGGATTCGAGCATCAACCATACTGATGGGGGGGGTGCAGGGACATTTTCTCTGTGGTGGTTAGCAGTTATCTCTGGGAAAGGGGTTGTAAGGTGAAAAATAATTCATCACCCACAAGGCAGCGTAAACGCTTTTGAACTCTGTCAAGGCTAGAAAGTCGTGTAACTCAAATTTTTTTTGGAGTGAAGTGAACGGGACAGAATATAGCTGGATTTGAACTCTGCTCGCTTTTTATAATTTTGTAATGATCACAGTTATATTAATAGTACATTCCTGCTTAGAGTTTTATATATGTATGGAAGAAAACTGGATCCTAAATGTTATAAAGGGAATTCCAAGCCATTTCCGGTTCTGAACATTCCGTACTTCAACGGAGGGTGGCTTAATGAAGGGCTAATCAATCCAAGACGAAGTCTCGTGTTGATACCATTTTCGCCTAGAAAGAGATTTTCTGGCGCCACATAACAGACCACCCGACAAAATAAAAAACAAATCGTTTATATCAAACGAGGATTTAACAAGTCGTTAGAGATTTCATATTTAATTCGAATTTATTGAAAACAAATTTTTGATCATAAATTTTTCTCATACTTAAGAAATATCCAATTCTTCAACTTTTTTTTCCTGATCTAGATTTTTTCTTTCTTTCTTTTTGCTTGTATCTTTCTTTCTCTATTTTTCTTTCTCTTTTTCTCTGTTTTTTTTTTCCACTGAGTATTATCTTTCTTTCTTTTTTTTTCTTTCTTTCCGCTTTTTTCTTTCTCTTTTTTCTTACTTTCTCTTTATACTTCTTTTTGTTTTTTTATTTGTTTGCGCTTTTTTCTTTGTTTTTTTTTCTTTCATTCTTTTTTCTTTTTTTTCTCTTTTTACTTTCTTTTTTCTTTCTTCCTGCATTTCTTTATGTTTATTTCTTTCTCTTTTTTTTTTGCTTTATTCTCATTTTTTTTTTCTTCCTGCTGTTTTTCTTTTCATTCTTTTTATCTTTCTTCCTGTTTTTTTTCTTTTTTTTTCTTCCTTTCTGTTTATCGTTGTTTTGTTTTTTGTCCGTTTTTTCTTTTTTTCTATTTTTTCTTTCTTAATCTTTTGTTCTTTCTATTTTTTCTTCATTTCTTTTTTTTTATTTATATAAACATTATTTTAAGATTTATTTTTATTTTTTAAAGTTGTTTTGCTCGCGTTTTATATTTTGTCCTTATTAAATGGCCATCTGTACGCTAAGTATTTGATTCCCGCGTATATATAACAGTTGTTTTGTTTTTTTGCGTATATGTTGGTCTTTCCAAAAAAGAGTAGTTGCGTGTTATTGAAGACAAGAGTTTAAGTTACATCAAATAATTTCTTTCTTTTTATGTGCCATGTTCTTTCAGGGTGTAGGCGATCATGGCTCTCCACTTCTCCCTCTATCCCTTGCAGCTCTCAACAAGTTCCATCCTTCTGCTTCCTCCCCCAGACCACGTTCTGTCATCCACTTGCTTAAGCCCGCCAGGTATGATATGCGTTGTTTTCCATTATCTCTCTTTCCCTCTATTCAACCCGTGAGTATCAGATTCTCCAGGCCCTCCTTCCTTATTATATGTCCAAGGAAATTCAGCTGCCTCTTCCTGATGTTAAGTATAAGCCTCCTCCTTGTTTGCATACTATTTAAGACCTCATTGTTGCTCACGCGCTCGGTCCATGATATCCTTAGCATCCTTCTGTAGAATCTCCGTCGCCTCGGGTCCCTTCTTCATGTTTGAGGAAATCGTCCAACATTCGCTGCCGTAAAGAAGGACAGATGCCACGTAACAGTTCGGTATTATTTTTTTTTTGTTACCAAAGATAACCTTCTGTCTCTGCCCAGCTTTTAGAATGCGTCCTTGGCCATCCCAATAGGCATACGGATCTCAGTGTCGCACTTACCATCCTTTGTCAAGACGCTTAAACTTTTATTGGGTAAATCATAAGTAATGTCTGTGATCAATTATAATGACGAAAGTGTCATGCTTGTTACTAATCCCAACAGCTATGAATAAATTTGGAGTAAATGAACAAATCTTATATTTGCACGACAGCAGCAACGTACATAGTGGATTAGACAAAAATTATTTCTCCCTCCATGACAACGCAAGCCCGACCTACGGAAAAATAACAAAGGAATAATTTTTGGAAGTCTGTTATTCTGTTTGACCCCCACCCGCCATATTCACCTGACTTTACGCTCCACCCTTCAACCTTTTTCCCACAGACGGGATGTGGCATGTCTTCTGCCGTTCAACCGTTACTTTCACTGAGATTGCATTCCCTGGTCCTGCCAGTCTACCCCGAGTGGTACCTGGGCCTTGTAAAGGGTAAAGCATACTGTA